CTGCAGAGAAACCTCACGTGAATTTAATTATTAAGCCCCATGTACCGTATTTTTTGCTCTATAAGATGCACTTTTCCCCCCTCAAAAGTAAGGGGAAATGTCTGTGCATCTTACAGAGCAAATGTGTGTGTGCCCGACGCCCTGGATGCTGCCGGCCCGCCTGCACCACGTGGCACCACCTGGCTGGCACGCGCTCGGAGCGCGCTGCTCCACCCCCCTCCTCCAGCACAGGTGAGAGCTGTTAATCACAGGTCAGTGCATGTTTTCAAATGGCAACCCGTCTTTTAATGAAGCCCATGGGGAAGTGATGGGGAATATGCCTGTGATTATCAGAAAGCTTTCCATGGATCCCTCCTCTAAAAACTAGGTGCGTCTTATGGTCAGGTGCGTCTTATAGAGCAAAAAATACGGTATATATCAGAAGCATATTCTTTGATGCAGCCTAGATTTTTCTAACTTTTTATAAACCAAGCTAAAAACAGTTTCAAATGATTCTAACCACTATTTTAAAATGTGTGTGTGTGTGTATAAAATAAATGACACAGAAGTCAGCTCAGTAACAAAAAGGGATCCAGCAGCACATTTAACCATAGCAATAACGGTATGTATGAAATCAACATTCTGACCTGGTTCACAAATAACGACAACCCATGGGTGGTGGGAAACATGAACAATTATACTGCCCTCTCATGATGTCCACCTTGCATAAGCTTTCCTACATAACCTAGACATGTAAATTTGGAATTCTCGGTTGCTCAGGGACTAGCACCCCACTCTCTTAACCCAGAGGTCGTTACCAGGTGATGTGAAGTAGAAGTGATTGACCGCACAACAAAGTGTGTGCTTCTTCCGGCACAGCTCTGCCAACACATGGACTAATGCTAGTAATTAAGCACAACAACTTGCTGCATTGGAGGTTTTGGTTTAGTATTACATGTCCAAACTTACAGGACTCTCAGGCTCACACACTCCCCTCTCAGATATGGACAAAGAAGACATTGGTAGCATCCACTTTGTCTTTTAAACTAACCAGTTGTCCCTGCTACAGTCAAACTTGGGAGAATCCTGGTTAGTTTGAACTACAGTTAGTTTAAACAACCTAGGATAAAATCATGGCTTATGTTTATGGAACTAACTACAATTTAAACTAACAAGACCTTTCTGCGTAATACGTTTTACAAGGAAAAATAGATGCTTCTGATCTCCTTGCAATTGCCTCTTAGGAGAAGGGTGAGTACACGTCTCAGACTGAGGTTTAGCATTATGTCCAAACCAAACCACTATTTTTACAATATGCTTAAATAAGGATAACAGAAGGAAGAGGAAATACTTATCCCACTGAAATTAATTTGGCTTCTTAAAAAAAAAACCCCTCTAAAATTAGGCTTAAAAATATAATTCCTGTTTCCATATGCTCGATGACAAGCAGTTAGCCCATTATACTTATATTATATAAAACTACTTAAGGGTTTAAACACAGACCAAACACCGTATGGTTAGACCTTCTTCCTTCATGCTTTTTCATTTAAAACATTTTCTCTCGTTTAAATACAACAATAACCCTAAATTTATTGTTGTTCATATGTTTACAAGTGGTGTAAGGTCAGCAGGGTGTTGCCTTGCAATGAACATGGACAAAATAGAAATAATGAAGCTGCAGGCTTGAACATATGAAGCAGCCTCATTATACATCAACTGGCCCATCAGTCCATGTCAGCACCACCCAACCATGCCAGCACTGCCTATTTCAGCAGTCATTTACTTTTTCAAACCTGGGATCCATCTTCAACCCCAACTTGTGCAACATTTTTGCATTTTTGATATATGGTAATATTTCTGCTTCTGTCCTTCTCACACAAACTTCTCTTTATCTCTCATCTTTCTCCAAGTTTTCTGCTTTATCCTGCCCTTCCCTCCTTGGAAAAGGATATTTTCACAGAGAAAAAAAATAATGCTCTTACCCTGCTGAAGCCTATTTGTTTTTCGCAATTCACCAACTAAAGACCAATAGTCTTCTCCCAACTAACAGCAGCTCTCTCAGGCAGGGACATGAAATCCTTTTGTTTGTAGTTGTCACTGAACTTCCTGTGTGTACGTACACACGTATATACACACACACACGCGTTCTCTGTCACTGATCTATGGCCTACCTTCCCCAATCTACACAGATACCACTGTATGGTAAGTCAGACTACTGGTTCATCTAGTCCAATGTTCCCTAGTGAGGGACAACAACTGAGATTGCTGGTGGGGGTCTCCACCCAGTCCTGTTCCACGTGATCCTTCTAAGGGCATCCTTACCATGTTTATTCAGAACTAAATCCCACTGATTTGAACGGAACATACACCCTGCCATGTCCATTTAAGATGCAGCTTTAACTTGGAGATTCTGAGACTGAATCTGGGACCCTTTCTACATAAAGGTACAAGCACACACACAGCAACTGCCCACTTTCCTCTTGCTACCTGAAAGTGGCAAAGAGTTTGGGTAACATTCCTTGGCTCAATACTTACTGGGTATCCAAGATACACAACAGAAGTTCAATATTTTTCTGGACAGTTTCTTTGAAAATTGCCATTCTAGTGAACAACTGAGCATTACTATATTCCCTCACAAAATTAGGAGCCATTTGTTTTATCATCTCTCAAATGCACATACAGATGCCACTTTCAATTTTAAAAATATATACAAAAAGAACATGCACAATTTGCTAGGAACATTTCCCTCTGTTTCAACCTGTAAATGGAGAATAAGGGTCACCTTGAAATATATTCAGAATTTAGTACAAGAAAAGAATGTGCAGTGCACAGCCATATGACCACCATCGTCTATATTATTTTCTAGTACACGTTGTCTCAAGATATAGCATAGATAACTATTTTTATGCAACTACAAAATAGAGATGCTTGAGGAATTTAATCTTTGCAACTTGTGAAAGAAACTGACCCACACCTCATTTATTGCATGTAGTGAAAATAAAAGGTATTTTGGGGAGAAAATACATTTATATTTGTGAGGGGACACTGTTTTTTGCTTATTTTTTAATTGCAGATGAATGTTGAAATGAGACAGAACGACTTATAGACAAGCATCTGGAAAAGTACCGTGGGCAGGAAACTGACTGATTTGCACACCCGTTAAGCAATAGATACATGTTAACCTATTCAGGCCTGTGCTTCTTCCAAAGTGTTTCACCCTCTTTCTTTGCCTTCTGGATGCATCCAAGTGGAAAATGTTTAGAGTATACAGTCGCCAATGGTGCAATGAGATTACGCTTATGTTGACCTACTGAGTAGAATGGTTTTTCTTCCAAGTAAGTGTACACAGGATGGCAGCTTTAGGCAAGACAGACACAGACAAATCACTTTGCTCCAAAAGAATTCTCAGACGTTCTCCCTTGGACTCAGGAGCATTCGTATCTGACAAGCCTGGTCACGAAGTGCTTCTAATAACTGTAAGGCCTGTTAAGCTTAATGGGAAGTTTTGTTGTTTTTAAATAGGTGAGTGCTAAAATTGACTGTCTCCACAAACTGCCACATCTTTATAGAACTTTCTGAATATTTTCTCTAGACCCATGTTTTATCCTGTCAGCAATGTGTATACTTGTACAGTCATTAATGCATGAGCAATCCAGGCCAAGAAGAAAACAGAGAGGTCCTGCCTCAGCTCATCAAAAATACAACATGCCAGTCACAAAGGGGTCAAAAATTAAAAATTGAATGCAGAACACACTTCCACAGATTACAGCAACCAACTGCTCTCCTTACAAACAGCAACAGCAGAAAGAGTCATACAAAAAGCTACACTCCAATTATTTTATATGCTCTTGTTGAGAAAGGGCAAAACCAACCAGACAAAATCAATTCCACACACGCAGGGGAAAAAAATGGAAAATGCTGCATCATGTTTTTGCATTATAAAAGAACTAGGCAACAAGCTACACCAAGCATAGAACATAAATATTGGTGATTTACAAGATCCACAATAGCTTTCTGTGTCAGAATTTCAATGTAGTTGATTAACTGGCCAGCCATGATTCCTGGTCAGTTAGTTATCCTGATTACTAGTCAAAACAGTAATTTCATTATGAATTTAGAAGAATTGTTAAAAGGAGACACACTGACCACAATAAAGGTTTACTTGTGAAATTATTAAATTTCAAGTGACTGAAATCTAATATATTTAAAATGCCATTGCTAACCTTACGTTAATATAAATAATACTCTAGAAATCAGAATACTCTTCTGAGCTTTTAGATGGAACATTGGGGTAATTCATATTTTATTTAAAATAAAAACACATAGAGGTATAAAAGATAGAAGTTAATTTCTTAAATATTGTTCCCCATAAAAAGAGTATCTGAAGCATGGACATCAAGTTCCTGTCAGACTACAACTGACACAAGAATATTGGTGGAATCATGGAACATTTCACCAAGGTCAGATAAACATGTGGTGTATCAGCGAGAGTGTTGCATTATGATTGTTACAGGTACTTCCAGTCAGTTAGGACCCCAAGGGCATGGAATGGCCTTCCACGGGAGGTGGCTGAGGCCCCATCGGTGTGGGTGTTCAAGGACAGGCTGGACATGCACATGGTGGGCATGTCGTTAGCGAAGCTGGCTGGAGCTAGGGGTCAGACTAGATAGCCCGGGAGACCCCTTCTGACTCGCTCTGTTTCTATGATCCTCACTCAGTCACAAAGCTCACCGACTTGGGCCAGACAACCCAGCCCCCCCACATGTCTCATCTCCTATAGAGCAGCACAATAAGGCTACCTGAGTTGTTTCTCCCACCCTTAAAAGAACAAGTGGCTAAAACAACCCATCAAGCAAGAAGAAAGGAGGGTGCCTGATAGCTTTGGGAGATATTGCAGCCTCCCTCCCCCCAAGTATAGTTCCTAATCACCAAAGGCCTTCACAATAGCTTGGACAGCATTACAAGTGAGAAACAAGCCACAGCATTCAATCCTTCCAGTAAATTCACATTAGCAGTTTTACCTTATTCGACCATTTATAGGCCTGAAGAAGTTGACTGTAGAGGGGCGTTTTGTCTTGCACCGGATCTAAACTCAACAGTCCACTATTGTGGAGAGGATGGTTCTCAGAGGGCTTGCCTACAAGGTTACTTAGACGCTCCAGTTCTCTAAAATAAAATGCAAAGAAATAATGCAATTAGAAAATGATTTTTTTTGTTTAAGTCAGTGCCTTTACAGTATAACCTAATAAAAGGGTTTTTTTCCTATAATCTAGTCTTTAAATAATAACAGGATTTGATTACTTATTATAAAATACATCACCTGCCCTTCAACACAAAACAATCCCAGGGCAAGTCACAATACAAACCATATGTCACTATAAACCAATACAAACGCACAGTAACTGGTCAATAGCAAACAAAATCCATAGTTACCAACCCCTAGTCATCTCACTTTCACACACAGGCCCCAGTGCTCAAACAAAAGTCTTGTCAAAGACCTGTTTTCTATTGGCATCAAGAGAACACCAACGTCCTTTTAAAACTGTTTCAGCGCTCACTGCTACAGGAAAAATTTGAAAACAAATTGGAAAACATGAGCATCAAACTCATGTTCACATAATTACATATACATGAGTATGACGCAGTCTCTCAGTTCAACTCAGTCTCTTATGTTAAAGTCCAGAATTCTAACTACCCGCTACATTACATTGACTCATACCTTGATGCCTGTACAGCTGGTCTATCTTTGAATAAAAGTTATTTTCTCCTGTTGGGGAGTGGGCAGAGGGAATGCTACATCAGTTTAAAAGGTGGAGTATTGTCATGGCTATACTGTCTAAGGTGGGATGCAGGTGGCGCAGTGATTTAAACGGCTGTGCTGCTGGGCTGGTTGATCGAAAGGTCGCCGGTTAAAATCTGCACAACGGGGTGAGTTCCTGTTGCTCCTTCCTGTTGCTCCGTCCCAGCTCCTGCCCACCTTGCAGTTCGAAAGCATGCAAATGCAAGTAGATAAAAAGGTACCACTTCAGTGGGAAGGTAACAGCATTCCGTGCATTTCGGTGTTTAGTCATGCCGGCCACATGACCATGGAGACCGTCTGCAGACAAATGCAGGCTCCCTCGGCAAGGAAACAGAGAGGAGCACCGCCCCCTAGAGTCAGGCATGACTGGACTTCACGTCAAGGGGAAACCTTTACCTTATACTGTCTAAGGCTGATGGGAGCTGTAGACCAAAACAATCTGAAGGGCTACAGGTTACCCACCCCAGTTTAGATAACACTGAGTTAGATGGGTTGTGTGACTCCAAATATGGCACCTTCATAGGTTCATACATATGTTAATTTAAATCTGCTTCTGTTTTGAGAGCTCTGCACACAGCAAGCAGAACTCTTAACTATGTACAGACTGTCTGTTTTTACACAAAGCAACATGTCTAATTTCAGCCTTTTTCACAAACACATTAAGATACCTGTAGCTGTCACTTAAAAGGAGAGTTGTTTATCTACTTTCCTCTTCTGATGTCCAGTTACAAATATTCTTTCTTCCCAGCTGAAGCAGTCAGCAATGTGGGACATGGTGGCAGAATGCACAACAGCATGATGCCAAGAAAAAAAATACTAGCAAATGTTACAATGGCAGTGAAAGTCAGAACATGACATGTGGTTTGGTCTCCCAACCCTTCATGTTGCAGTGAAGAGGGGATGCTGTGGGAAAGAAAGGGCAAAGAAGTCTGCTTCTGTCAGCCCTGTTGACAAAATCTGGATCAAATCCAGTTTTAAAAATACATGTTTAGAGTAGGAGTAGTTCCTAGGAGTTTCAAGAGCAAGGATGTTTCAGGAGGAGATTATTTGTTAGGACAGCTAATTCAGTAGCAATAAAATGGACAACAGCCTATCTATTTAGCTATACAACATACTGTGTTATAGAAATTGAAATTGCTATGTGGGATAACATAATGTACATCAATGATCAGTGTATCCATGATCATATGAGTGCACTTACCCCCTTAACATTCTACTTGTCTTTTTCCACAAAAGCTGGTTGAATTGCCAATCTGTTAGGCAGGATAGTAGGTTGCAACTCTGAACCTGCTCCAATGTATTTCATACCTGTGCTCACCAAAAGACCATAAGAAAGTCCTACAAGTCAGTTAATAGGTTTATCTAGTCCAGTGGTCTGAACTAGATAAGCAATTGATTAGCAGTTTTGAGCAGTGATCAGAAAGATGCCATCTGGGAAATTCATGAACAGGGCTTGAATGCAGTAGTCCTGCCTAATGTTTGCCCCCAGTTTGTGCCTTTCAAAGATAAACTGCCTTATTTTTGAATGGCACAGATATATCTGGAGTGGGAAAAAAGAAACAGGTTTCATTTTAGCAACAACCTCCTGTTCCAACAGCCTTTATTTATTGCATTTATATCCCACCTTTCTTCCAAGTCAGCACTTATGATTTCTTAATGGCCAAAAGCAGCCTACCCTCTAAATGTTACATCAGAGAAACAAACAACAGGGAAGGGTTACTCCTAAATCAAGTCAGGTGCATCAGGTCAGGGTGCGAATCCTCAGGCCTGGGGCTAGATCTAATCTATCTAATCTCACAATCTGGCCTTCCAAGCCACTCCTCTTCCCTAGACCCCACTCTTCCCAATAGCCATGAGTACATACTGTGTGGAAATGGAATGGAAACAACCATCCACTGTTGTTTGCCATCACATAATAACCAGAAGGTAAACGCTTTATACAAGCTGCTTAGAATATAAGTCCATCTAGTCCACCATTCTGCTTACACAATGGCCAACCGGCTCCCTCTATACACTTTTTAAGACTTATAGCTCCTCTTTTTCCTCTTGCAAGGAATCCAGGATGGTCACACAGGCCTCCTCCACTTTATCCTCACAACCACCCTGCGAGGGAGGCTAAACTAAGAGATGGGACTGGCCCAAAGTCACCCAGTGAGCTTCACGGCCGAGGGAGGACTCAAAGCACTTCCAACACTCGCAACACTACACGCACCGCAGCCTTTTAAAACATTTGGCTTGTAAAGCCCTCGAGGCTCGTAGCCATCAGCAGAGGAAAGGGAGGAGGAGGAGGAGGAGGAGGAGGAGGAGGAGGAGGAGGAGGAAAGCGCGGCGCCCCGTTGCCGGGGCAACCGTCCCTGCGGGCTTCCTCACCCCAAGTCCCGACTGACGGAGAGGAGGCTGTCCTGGAAACTGGCGACGAAGCCCTTCTCGCGGCCCTCCAACGCCTCCTTGTTTCGCCGGCCATCCTTCAGACAGTCAAAGACGCGCGTCACACTCGAGCGCAGCGCCTGGATGGCCGAGATAGCCTGGGCGAAGGCCTCCAGGTTAACACCAGCGCTCAACACCCCCTCCGCCATCTTGGACTCTTTCAAGAAGCCGGGAGCGAGGAACCTGACGACGCCCCTGACGCTCCGGCCGCAAAGCACGTCGGGAAATGTAGTGCGCCAGGCCAGCGACGCGAGGACCATCAGTCCGGGAGGTACCTGCCCCAGCAGTAGCTGCCACAGCAAAGGAACGTGGGATGCGCTCTGAGCTAGAGGGCGAGGCGGCGCTTCAAGTCGCGAAGCATCCTGGGAAATGTAGTATATCGTTTGTCGGGTCGGCTTTAGAAGGGGCGGGGAGATAAGGAGCAGCTGTTTTCCCGCCTTTTTTCCTCTTTCCCCCTCCCCATCTCAGACTTTTCCTCACGAGTCTTTCCTCATACATTTAATTTTTATTTGAATAGCTAATTTTGCTTATTTCCTAAAGGAAACAAAATGTAAGCATATTTTATACAGACTATACAATTTTTCATATTATTATTACTTGGAAACATATAAAATGTGTGTGAGTGGGTGTGTTTTGTATTTGTTTTGTGTTTTCTGTTGTATATTTCAGAAATTGACAAAAGCACTGAAGGAAAGGGAGAGGGCTTTTTTTCCTTAAGGGTTCTTTTCTCTCTTGAAAAACAAACAGCCTGACTTTGCCACATGTTTTTCCCCCATGAATTTATTACTTTATATCACGTAAACAGAAAAAAGGATTGTACATGCTTCAGCTGTACTTTATGTTTTGCACATTTCAGAAATTGGAAGAGAATGTTGTTTTAAAAGGAGTGTGCTTTTTGCCACTGAGGAAACAAGTAGCCAAACTTAACCAAATGATTTTCCCTCAGTAATTTATTTTTTAAAATTAAAGTATCAGATTATAATAATTATATTATAATAATTACCTTGCTTGGAATACACAGAAGAAAAAGGATTTGGGATTGTTCCAGTGACCCTAGGAAAAAAGAAGATGAAAATAGAAATCAATCTCTGTTGTACACTTGATTCCTTATAGCTCTGGCCAGGATGGCCAAGGCTTAGGGATAATGGGAATTGTATTCCATTGAGGGTCTAAGTTCCCTCCACCTCTCGGTTTGCAACACCAAGGAAAAGAGAACATAATGGCTGGAAAGTTTCCCCATTTCCAAAATGGGGCTAGTGTTCCTTCTCACATCCATAAACAAGGGTCCAGAAGCAGACTCTGAGTAATGGCTGCTCTCCAGTTACAACAACTTGAGCCTTCCATGGTCTTCACTCACTCCTGCTATTCCAAATGAGAAACCTCAATATAATTAATCGCTTACAACCTCCAATATTTATTTATTTATTATTTATTTATTTATTAAAACATTTTTATGCCGCCCCATTCGCCGAAGCCTCGGGGCGGCTTACAACAAAAAATTAAAATAACATTTTAAAATATATACAATAAAATACAAATATATAACATAAAACATACACTATAAAACAGGCCGCCCTGGCCAAATAAAATTCAATAAAGTGTCATCAGCCTCTTACTACTCCCCACAACTCACTGGCCCCATAGACAGCTTGAAAGCCACGAAGGCCCACCAAGTTCTAGTGCTCTCAGTTTTATGGAAGTGCCTGCACAGAGTTGCAGCCTTACAAAGGAAGGAAAGTCCATTTGGCAATCTAGCACCCATACTTTGGGCTGCTCCCATAAGATTAAAGGCAAGAGTTCATTACTACTGAAGGAGGTGTTGGTAGAAGCATGAGAAGGTGAAAGTGGAGAAACCTTTCCTCTTGATCTCAGGGTAGATTTATTTATTCCATATCCATACTACCCAGTAGCTGAAGTTCTCCGGGCAGTTCACAACAATACAGCAAGACACCACAAATGGAATAAAATACTAAAAGGATTCCAACCCAAACGTAAACCTGTTAAAGCCAACTGGCATCAATTTCCCCATTAAATGTCTGGGAGAAGAGAGCAGTCTTAACCTGGTGCAAAAAAGATGACAGAGTTGGCACCAGGTGGGCCTCACTGGGCAGTTCTTTCCATAACCAGGGGTGGTGGGCTGTCACCCTGTTTGCCACCTCAGCTCCCAAGGCCATAGAAAAAGGCACTTAAGATAAGTGCCTTCCACAAGTTCCACTTCCCTTTCAGTTCCAGTTCTTTATTGACTCGTATGCTTCTGATTCTCCTTTGAAAATACTTTCCAAGTTCCCTCATTCTTTCTCATCACAGGACCACAGAAGCTACCTTAAACCAGGTCAGACCTTTTATCTATTTGGCCTCGCATTTTCTGCTCCAACTGGTGATACCTCTCCAGATCTCAGGCAAGAGTCTTTCCTGATACCAGGTCCTTTTAACTGGACATGCTCAGTTAACCTAGAACATTCTGCAAGTGCCTTAGCATTATCTGAGCTGCCACCACTATTGGCAAACCACTCTGCAAGGAAGGATGCTCCAGTCCCACCATCATTCATTATGCAATCTTTCCGTACCTCCTCTTTTACAACCTCAGTTCACAGGTCTTCATGCTCTTCATAAGTGCCCTAGTAAAATGCACCCATGCTTATCTGGTAACATAGTCTGCGCATATACACGGATTCTATCCTTGGGATATGTTAATTTTGTGCACGTAAGTTCTTCTGCCCTGTGTTTATTTTTAGACCATTTTCCCTGGGAATGGCTTTATTCCCTTTTCTTCTGTGCTCCTCAACAGTAAACTTAAAACATTGTGTGGGTATAAAGTGCTGACACTCATCATCTGTTTTACATAATACCCCTGGGAACCAGGCTGCCTTTGTCCCATCTGTTGTCTTTTGATGCAAAGCTTCCCACATTTAGAAATCAAAGATACTCGGGTTTTGTCTATGGTGTAAATTTACTAAGATCCACTGAGGAGCGTAATCAACATCTGGCCTACAGTTGGGGGTGCAGAACCTCATGCTTCAAGCCAAATGCAGCCATCCGAAGTTCCTTAGATGATCCTACTTGTTTTCCTGGCCTGTCCCAATAGGATCTACTTTTAGAGGGCATTCTGAAATCAGGGCACCAACAGAGAGAAGGTCCTCCACTTTTGAGATGTGATCATTATAAATGAAATCTTGTTCTAGGTTCCACACTTACAGCAAGTCCCATTGAACTCACTGTGACTTACTTCTGAATAGGCATGCAAGAAAAATGGCACTCAGTAAATTGACAATAAAATGGTGTATCCATTTTCCTCTTGCAAGGAACCCAGGCTGGTGTACATGGTCCTCCTCCTCCTCTTTATCCTCAAAACAATGCTGTGTACTAGGTAATGCTGAGGTTCAGTGACTGGCCTAAAGTTACTCAGTGGATTCCTGTCTGAGTGGGGACCCAGATCTTTTGTGCCTCTGTCCAACACTACCATGCAATGGCTCTTTTTAAAGGTCTGAATTGTTTGTCTCAAATTGGAGTTAACAGCAGGGAATGTCCTCCAGAGGATTTTGGAGGCCAAGTCCCACCTGCAGAACTAACCCCAGGAGGCTGAGTTTTTGCATCCCTTGCCTAAATCTTAAAAGGGAGGTTACCAACTGAACCTTTTCTTAGGAAAGGGAGTCCCAATCTTGGCAACACAGAGAAGGACTTTCTCTGCTGTGATGCTTCCCCTGTGGAACTCCTCTCTAAGGTGTGTCTGTCCTGAACACTGGCATGTGTTGGCATTGTTTAAAAGGGTACCTGTTCACTTTAGCTTTCCTCAGAGCATAAACTGTCATTCTAGCTGCCTTATTTTGTGTGTGTGTGTGTGTGTGTGTGTGTGTGTGGTTTTTATTTTGTTCAGTTTTATTCTTTTGTAACTTGATTTAAGATTTGTTTCAAATGAGGATCAGTATATATAAATATAGCTTATTAACAAATAATGACCTGGGTGCCACAACAGGAAGTGTATTGTCTTCAGTTCCAACAAATTGTACCTCCAAAGTTGCTTGATGAGATTTTTCCAAAATCAAGGGACAGCCTAAGAAATATGCAAACACCCTGCTTTGCCATTTTTTGGTGAATGAGTAAGATCTTTGAAAAGTGCTTCCCTGCACAGTGATAGCACAGATGTTTGATCTGAGATGAATGCAACATGGCAAATGCTCTTAATAACTATATCACCTATAAAGCCTTCAACGGCTTAGGACCTGGTTATCTAAGGGAGCGCTTGCGCCCATATCTGCCCTCCCGCACCCTGAGATTGGCAGAGGAGACTCTTCTCCGGGAGCCCTTCGTGAAGGACATTAGGAGGGTGAGTACCCGGAGGAGGGCCTTCTCTGTGGTGGCGCCCCAACTGTGGAATGAGGTCCCCAGAGAGGTCCACCTGGCACCGTCGTTATTTGTTTTTTTGGCACCAGGCCAAGACCTTTTTATTTGAACATTTTAATTGTTAATTGTTGTTTTTATTTATTGGTTTTAAACTATTGCCTAGATGCTCCGAATTTTTAATGTTATTCTATGTTGTTTATCTTCTTTGTAAGCCGCCCCAAGACTTTCTGGGATGGGGGTGGCATAAAAATGCTATAAATAAATAAATAAATAAATAAATAAACTGACTGTTCTTTTAAAATATATTATCTATTTATTCAAACTATATCCCACCTTTCTTGAGTAGAACCAAGGTGAGTTACAAAGTATAATTAACAGTATAATGTTATTTGTGTTTGTTCTGAAGAAAATTTTTGTGGAGCTTACTCTCAGGTAAAGTATTGCAGCCTAAAACTCCCTTCCCCTCCCCACAAAATATTGGAAAGCCTGAATATTTAAATATGTATTCTTTCAAGCAAAGAGCACCAAGGTTTCAGGGTGAGAAAAGTTGAATATTGAAAGCTATCTAATTGTACAATTCCCTATTATTTGTATTTAGCTTAGAAATATGAAAGAAAACTTTGTGCACTGATATTTCTTGCTATATTTAAATTGCTCAACACTTAACATTTACAAAATAACACATTTAAACTACGGCTGTTAGCCAGCTTTTGGAATATTCCGGTAAAAGGCACCCCACTGCAAGGAACTCCCATTCTGAACTTATAACAGCTGGAGAACATAAAAATGAAAGATCAGAATGCAGATGTCTTTATTTTTAATTAAGCCACATTCTTTTCTATTGCACAAGAACCAAAATACATAGCTAGCCAATGC